AACATTTTTGTGCTTGCACACACAGCTCATTCTAGGCTGCATAAAAATGTTTGTAGTACAGTTTCTTAAAATAGCTCAAATTTACTTCAACCTTATCTATTTGATTATACATAAACGTGTGACACTAATAACAAAGAATCAAAACAAATCGACGAAGTGTTAATTGGTATGGATACAGAGTTGACAAAAACGTGAGGGTAATTTTTACATTGCACAAAGCTTTACACTGCCAATGAGGGGTCAACTTTCATTAAAAAATAACACCTTGCGTGAAAATTACGCATGCACTTTGTGTCTGGACTCTGTAGCCACACTTTAGTCTGCAAATGTTCTATAAAACAATATATAAAACCACAGATACTTCTTTGAGTGAGTGTAATAAGTTATTATTTTTCTCTTATTCAACTTTCTTCATAAACTTTATTTAATTTTTTTGATTTGACAGGAATCAATTAAAATGTATGTAATTGGACTGATCCCTCCTATTCACACACATAAGAAAATGATATAAGAGTCATGTAAGATAATAGCCTCTCCCACCCCTTTGAAATGCTTGCTCAAGGGACAGATTCTCCTTTTCAATTCTTTGTAAAGAAATTGGGTTTGGTCAAAACAATAGGATGTCTACTTTGTGCTTAAAAATAGATGAACCTATCATTGTAAATTGTACTGTTGAGCTCAGTCTCTTTTCAAAATGTTTTCGCAACACATGTTGTTCAACCCCATTATACTTCTAACTTCTCTTCCACCACCACTCACAAACGGTAGATAATATCACTCCACTTGCATAGATATTTCCAACAATGAAAAGATTTCGACTAAGATGCAAGCTACACATGTACAAAATAGAGTTCTGGAGCTAAATCATATTATTTACTGAAATAAATAGGGAAATGCCTGTTTTCAATAAGACTGTAATAACTCTGTTTTTGTACGAAAGATATGACCCTAACACAACATTTACCTTGGAAAAGATATTACAAAAGTACCTTTATTGTACAACTTCGGATTCCTGAGCCCCCTTCCCTAAAAACAATGCCAAAAAGTTACCTCTGTTTAGCTACAAGAGCTTCTAAGAGTCTAAGTTTGGCTTTGATTTGCTTGTAAGATGTGTACAATAAACTATAGTCTCTGGCTGCTGCATCACCAGCCAAAGCCGCCCGATCTTCACGCTGCATTCTTCTGCCAGTTTGATGTTGAAATTGCTCTTCTTGTTCCCTAAGCAATCGTCTTAACTTCTTTTTCTCCTCACGAGTTTGAGTTAACTGCAAAACTAAGTCAGATCTGAAAAATTAAAGAAACAAAATGAATTTCTGGCGTCACTTTGACAGATTCTTCATAAAGAACTATAGTGCTTTAACTTACAAGGGAAGAGCATGCAAATTTTCTCCAAGAGAGTCAGATGAGCTTGTCTGACTATCACTTGTTTCTTCTGTACATTGTTGAGTTTGAAGAGAAGCATTTCCAATAGTGCTACTTGTTCCACAGCTTGCAGCAGAGTTTGAATTAAATCCTTGAACTGGAGGGATGGAATTAACGTCTTGAACTCCATCTGCCATAGCCAATAGAGAAGTCGAAGGAGTAAAGTCCATGGCCTCATGCTCATGAATTGTGGCTAACTCATTAATGCTATCTTTAAGCTTCGACTGGAAGGAAAAGTAAAATGTGTTAGAAGCAGCAGGTAATAAAAACAATATCAACAGTATCAATAAGAAAAAATTCTTACTGAGGTTGCTCTGGCCACAATCCTTTTCAGTAAACGATACCGGTCATACAGTGGTCTCACTATTTCTCTATCCTGTTTGCTTGTGGCTCGTCCGCAAATTTTCTCTAACATTAAAAGGGCTTTCTGTGTTGCTAGTTTCTCTGCTGCTTGTTGCTCTGAAGTCATGTCTTCTAATGACTCTGGACGTCCAGTAGATTTTCTTTTCTCCTTTAATCTGCGCTCAACTTCTTCAACAGTATCTTCCATGTTTATGTTTGAAAAATTACTTGATTCAGCAGGAACAGCACCCTTGCTTGATAGGCCAATGCGGAGAGTTGGCTCAGGTTGGCTAGCCATCGCTGATAATGGATTTTCTTTTATCTCTGTAAATAATATGATGTTATAATGAATTGCACAATATTCAAGAATTTGTAGTAGACATTCATTAATCGAAATACTTACGTTTCAATTCTTTTCTGACACGATTCAAGTCTGAGTACATCTTTTTAATATCTTTATTCGCCATCTTGTCAGCCTGAGATGGTCTATACCCAAATTCTTTCTCAAACCCTTCTTCATATTTCTTTAACTTTTTCTTGATGCTGAGGAATGAAGTATGATAAGGATAAATCATATGGATAAAAGTTAAAAAATTAAAAGTAATATAAAGCAGAAATTACAAACCTTGCTATTTGTTTGTTGTATTTTTTAACAATGTTTTCTATATCTAATGCTGGTCCTGGAAGACAAGAGCCATGATGATCACCTGGAGGCGATGGAGGAACATTGTGGTCCATGTACACACGTCTCGTGAGAATCATTGAGTTTCGAGGTGATAGAAGTATGTCACGGTCTGCCTGCTTTCCCCGAGGTCAAAGATTATTAAATTGCAATATTATAAAATACATAATGTACATGTCATATACAAAACTGATATACAAATAAACACACCTGATGTTGCGGTCTAACAAAATCCCAGCTGAGTCTGCTAGCAACAGGCTCACTTCCATCAACTGATTGATGCAGAGTGGTTAAATCCAGAGGAGGTGTGCAAGGACTGATTGATGGTGATGGTGATCTTTCTCTCTCCTAAATCAGAGAAAATATTTCAAACATCTAATTCTCTGCATACAATATAGTGCAACAGCTAAATCTAATATTTACAAGTCAACTTACTGGAGGGTGAAGTTGAAGAAATGAATGACTTGATCCAGGTCGAGATTCGTCAGATAATGATTCAACTTCAGCTTCTGGATCACAATCATCTTCACGCTCATCAGATGAAAGCGAATGCTGGTTCAATAGCTCTAATACATGCTGTGATACACATGCCTGAGGTACATTTTTAGGACTGAGCTTCGTTGGCTTATCTTTTTTTCCCTGGAGATTATACATAAAATTAATCCTGTTTAATTTCTTGCAGATTTAGGCAACGCCTAGCACAAAAATTTATTAGTTCTTACCTTTGAAGATAAACCTGATGTATCTGACGAGACATTAGAATGACCTCGTTTTTTCCTACCAATATTGCGTCTGGCCACAGATCTTGAAGGTATCAGAGAACGAGAGAAACGTTCAGAGCTTCTTCTTTTTTCATGTTCATCCTCAAGTGGTTCAGCATGAAAACGATCTCGCCCTTTTAAAGTCTGTGGCTGATCTCTCTGTAATTCATTTTCTTTGTGTTGGGAGCATGGATCATGCACAGAGGTTTGGATGGTGGGCAGTGAAACATCTTTCGACTGTGGTGGTATTTCAATGTGATTACATTCTTGAAGTGGTAATCCACTAAAATGCTGGAATAAAATTACAAGGAAATAATTTCAGTGTGCCACCAGAGACCAAACAGAGATTTAGTACAATCAGTACTTAATGATACATACAATAGGTTGTGGTAGGTCAAACATTTCTACCACAGTAGAGAATCTATTTTTGTTGATGTTAGGAACCTTTCCTTGCTGTTTAACATGACTAAAATCTTCATGACTACTGACACGACGAATATTTTCATTTTTTTTGTCAGTAACTGTTAATTCTACTTGGCGCTCTTCAGAACTAGACCTAAATAAATAAATAACAGTTGCTATATATTTTCACAATAGGTTAAATATTATTAAATAATAATAAAAGGTTCTGAATGATGCAATGAGAAACCAGAACCGATAAATTATATGAAAGGAAGAGAGTTATTACCTGATCACTTTGCGTTCAAGACTTTGATTCGAATTGGCACTTTCATTTCGTTCCTTGCGCTTCCGTTGTTGACTACAATTTAAGTTCTCAGCGTCTTCTAAATTTTTACGAACAGTTCCTGAATCATGGTGCTTTTTACGGGTGTTTGGTGACTTTCTGGTGGGGCTTGATGAAATGTCGTTGGGGTGGTCAAGTATCCTAAAATAAAACAGATTTAAAATAACAGCAACAAAAAAAAAAAATACTTTTTGGCCTTTGCTTGCATACACAATTCTTGATGGGAAAAAAAATACACACCACTGATGGAATATTGATGCATGGTCTTGAATCAGCCTTGTCGTCAAAGTATTTGCTCTAGAGAGCTGATCTGCCCCATAGTATTCAAGACCTCTCAAGAGCAACAAAGGGGCAAACACAGCACCAAGGTGATTTACTATAGTATGGGGAGAACTTTTTGTAGAGCGTTGCTGTTGATGATGGTTATACCGATGTAAAAAGCGCAAAATATAACGAAGAAGTCTCAAATTTGTTTCCGGTAGAGTACAAAGAACAAGCCGTATGGCTTGCCGCCAAGTTCCCACAGATTCCTCAGAAACCTCTGTCAAACAGATTTCAAAAGTTAGTTTCCAGTAATAGTATACAGAGTT